TTATTGTTTAATGTGATTAATTTTAATGTGATCGGTAAGTAAATATAAAAAATGGTTCATGAAAACGTATTAAAATGTTTCTGGAGGTCATAGGCGTAAACTAGGGGGCAAGGGGGGGGGAATTCCCCATTAGAAAAAATCAGGAGGGGCAGTGCCCCCTCTGATATTTAACATACCTTGTTTAAAATAAGTACACAACTGCTGGTTATAGCTATTACTATAATATTATTTTTTTTTTAAATCTTTATTTTAAATTTTTGCTTATTTAACATAATGTTAGAAAATGAACAATTTTATATAATAATATATAGGTAGTAAAGTGGCGTTTAGCCTCGGACACCCTTTTCGTTAGATATGTATTTATATTTTTGCCCACCTCCCTAATAAATTTCCAAGTTACGCCTATGTTGGCGGTATTCATGATAAATATATTTTTATTTAAAATACAAATAAAAAAAATTGCTAATTCTGGATGACCAAACTTACGAACATAAGTGATGACATCCTGATTATTTTCATACATGTAACCCGGGGAACCAGTAAAAGAGGTGGGAAGAATTACTTGTTGCACGTTATTAGCATTAATATCTGCATCATTGTTAAAAGCATTTCGGAGGTGAACATAATCATCCACTCGTAGTTGTACTTGATGTTTACTAATAAAGTGTAATCTTCAGAAATCATTTTTGCACCATGTCTACAACGAATTTATTGTATAAGGTTCTGTAATAATGTAGGTGATTTAGACTTGTTTATCTAACCATAAAGAGTAAAATTGCAAGCAGGAGACAGTTTTTGTTAGATTTTGGTAATTTTGCTCACAGCAATATTAATGTGACATCCGTCTTTACCTCTATCATACGAGAACATTGCAGTGCATCAAAGTATCTATTCAATTCGGAAACTCGACGCAAGTGTCTATCCCGACCATAAGCGTGCGCACGGGATAGTCAGGGTAGGCACTTGACTATTCCGTAAATTTACTCTCCCTCACCAAAATATGCATTATTATCACAATAATAAATAACCGTGTTGTGAAAAATTTCAGCTAAATCGGTTCAGCAGTTTTCTCGGTTAGCGTGGTCGTAAAATACCCTTTACAATTTTATATAGTAGCTATATACAGTCTCCCCACATACAATAACGATCCCCTATACTAAATGTTTGTCCGGACCCTTTATAAAACTTCCAAAAATACAATTTACTATATATATAAAAATTTTAGGAATAATATTTGATTTTTCATTATACCAATTCGAATTCAAGATTCATAAGCATTTTAACATTAATAATGTCTATTTTATTTTTTTATTACAATATTATTTAAATTAAAAAAGAAAAAACAAGTATATTTTTATTTAATTTAAAATATTTTTTTTAAGTGAAAATTTTATTTTGTGAGCTTTGAGCTCAATGAACTCGGTAATGATATCGTCAACATTGATTGTCGAAGCCAATTCATTCTCCGTAGATAATGAGTAAGTGAGTTTAATCGTTCTTGATTAATTGTGGATCTTTGCCACGTTTTCAGTGAATTTCCCAAGTTACTGAAAGATCTTTCTGCTTCTGCTACAGTCACTGGAATAGTACAAAATATTCCGAGACTAATACACACGTTTAGAAAAATTGTTTCTACATTTTTCACGTAAATGGAATCTAATAGTACGAGTGGGTGGCATTACATTGCTTTTTTGAAATGTTAAAGAATATATAGTTTTCAGATGTAACATTTCTTGACACATATTTTCAGATAAATCAGATTTGTATTTTTGTATAAGTGATTTTGTTTTCAATTCCAATTCTTAATTAGGTAATTCAAGGTAATAATAATTTAATTACGCTTATAAGCGATAAGGAAGACGCAAACTGCAACCAAGATAATTTCTAGGTAATAATTGGTTAATCCACATTTTGAACTACCAAAATAATTAAATATATATATATATATATATATAATGTTATTTAATGTAAAATAAGTATTTCTATTAAAATTTCAAAAATTACATATAAATTTCAACAGGCCCGCTGGCCCTTAAAATAGCTGGGTCCCTGTACTCTAGGTCCATCAGTCCCCCCCTTGTGGGAACCCTGGCTATATATATATATATATATTCAATATATACATAGTAGAGATTGACAATCACGGCACTAGAATAATTTTCCAGGGGGGGGGCAGAGTGGGGCAAATATTTTTTTTATATAGACTGGTTTCTTCAATAAACACTGAGGTTATTTAAATAAAATATAAATATTTTCGTATCATATAACATAATATAGCTATTATTATTTTCGTGACATACAACCACGATTAGTTGAAGACGAACAAATGATAATAAATCAAAGTAAATAAGTAAAATAAAGAGCGAAAAATATTTAAAAAAGCCACGATATCTAAATATCGACCTCAGAAACATACCTGTAGGGGGATAGTAGTTTTTACCTAAAAAACATTGATGTTCGGCTTTAGTTTTGTAATGAAGCTTTTATACGGTTAGGTTAACCAACCAAGCTTTGACCTAATATGAAGCGGACCCATCCTAAATTACCAAAAGATATTGGGTCAAGGCCCCACCTCAATATAGGGTTGGCGCCACTGGGTGATATTATAAGTATATATTATATACTATTATAAGATAGTGTAAAAATACCCAAGGCCGTTCCAAAGATGAAAATCAAGGGGGGGGGGGTGAATAATATGAAAAATTCCGACTGCAATTTTTTACTCAATGTGGGTAGTATAATTAGCTATATGTAATCGTATTTTTACTTTTTAACATATATATATGTGTGTCAGTATCGCACGTTCTTTAAATTAACAGTTTAATTATATATATATAATCCTATTTTATATTGTATAATAAGTAGTTATATACATTTCATTCGTGTATACACTATATTACGAAATATGTAATATTTGTTTTCCAAAAATAAAATTAGGTCCTTCTAGGATTTAATGAAACAAATCCGACTGCCGACTAGTGTTTTCGTTAGGTGGATGAGACACCCCTCCAAGACGGCCCTGAAAATACCTCCCCAGAAAAAAAATTTAAAAAAACCACTACTGTATGTGATATAACATATTATTAATATTATTATTATTATTTTTTTTTTGAAGTCCAAACGGTCACGATCAAACGTCACAATGTCCAAATGTCTTAGACCGCAGTATTCACGATTATCGATTTCAAAATATAAATGTATTATTTTTCTTTATTTTTTTTTCTTTTAACGAACAATTCAACTAGGAGGTTAATGTTGATTTACCGCTCAACAAAAATGTATCAGAGTATTACGTGAGCGTTTTTGTTTGCTGTTTATATATATATATATATATATATATATATACGTGGGAAAATTATGAAAAAAAAAAAATAAGGAAGACCGAAAACAATTGAGTGTAATAGAAAGTAATGTAGTATAATTGAAACGGCGAGCATTGCAAGTTACAATTAATACCGAGAGAATAATAACGAAATTGGAGGAAAAATATGTATTAATAAGATATAACAACAATCATTATAATCAAGAGCAATTTTTCCTACTGTTTCGCACTCTTTGTTCACTGAATTTGCTTTGTATTAATAACTACGAGAAAATAATTGATCTAAAATAGTATAACCGAAATTTTTTACAGCACTGTATTGGTTTCAAAATATCCTTGATATGTCAATGCACAAAATAAGTTTTTAGGATAAATTAATTTGATAAAAAAAAATACTGAATCCATTATTTTAATTTTAATATTGTATTGACTCATATAAAAGAATGTAGTGCTTCAAGACATATTTTTTTCAATTAAATTTCATAACCATAGACACAATTAGACATCAATGATCAAGTGAATCCTTCAGCTCCACCAATTTATATTTTCTAAATTATAACATAGATAAGTTTATAACGTACAAAAAAAAAAAAATCAAATAAGAAGGTAAATAATATTTTTCACTTTTAGTGTAAGAGGGCTAATTTAGTAGTTAAGGGTATTCATGACCCAAAGCGAACTCCTTCCCTTACTAGTTTTGCAATTTTATAAAATTAAACTACAACATAAGTATTATTCGTATTTTGATATCTAACGATGAATTTTAAATTCTAAACCGGTAGTACTATACAAATATAATACTTCAAGCTAAGAATTCATTTATTTATTTATTATAAGATTTATTATTATTATTATTATTACTATTATTATAATTATTATGTTATATCGAGAAACAATAATAACATTATTTTTAAAAAAATAGTTTAACAATTTGTTTATAGTATAACTAAAAATAATGAATCCAAATTAAATGATGATATATCAAGAGTTATGATTTTTTGACATTTGCATTTGCATCATAAAATATAAATACAGTATAGTATTTATACTATTTAATAATGGAAGTGGTAGAATTGTATTTTAATCAATAGAAAACAATAAACATTTTTTGAATATAATATTTTATTTTGGACCAAGTTATAGAGTAAAAAAAACTTTTTGTGTTTGTGTAACAATATATCATTTAGTACTTAAATTTTGAACATTTTATTGATGATGAAATGCTTTAATGGAAAACAAATCAATTATCATATTATTTTTACTTTTATAAATCTTGATCACATTTTTAGGAAATACATACAGAACAACAAAAAAAAAAAAAATTTTATAGTTAATTTCATATACTACACTTAATACATCAACTAATATGATTTTGTACAAAGATTATAATCGTTTCAATTTTAGTAAACTACATCGAATTTACATTTTCCGATTATTTAAACTAAAAATATTTAAGTTATATTGTTTACAGAGTATAATAAATAGTTCATCCAAGTAAAGTATTAAGAAATGACTAATAGAAAAAAGCGGAAAGAATTCAAAAATGTAAGCAAATTAATGAACACTTAAGAAAAAAATAATAATAATCAAGTGCATGATAATTTTAAAGATATATCACGAAGAGATCAAGCAATAACTTTTAACAGATTATTTCTATCATCTTGATGTGATTAATTGAAAATACGGAATGTGTTGGTTTATTTGTATGTATACTTATTTATATATATAAAAAAAAAGTATAGAAGTTAATAATAATTCAGTATTTCACATTACACGGTAATAATTTCAGCCTAAATGCTGTCAAATAATAATAATAATATATATATAAAGAAAAATCATAATTAACAAAATAAAAATCGTTTACATCCTACAGACTAGAAACATAAAAGTAGCTTTCCTATTTTTTTGGTGGTTAATAAAAATGTACAATAATTTATAATCATAGGTAGGTATTCTAACTCCCAATAATATTCAAATTTTTACACAGGATCTCTACCGGTAAGCAGATTTGTCAGAATATGAGGCAATTAGTTAGATACAACAATATTAAAATTATATACGATTTCAAAAATCTTTTGAGCGTCTTTTTACATCATTAGCGCAACGCGATAATAGTTTACTATAAATCACGCCGTAGTTATGTTTTTAAATGCATAGTTATTATGTAAATATTACACAATATCCAATGGACGTTGTCGTGTGTCCACAAGCCTGGTAGAAAATCAAACCAATTGTATCCGTTCTCTAAACAAGAATGCGTACGCATCAACGGCATTTCCGAAAAGATTGGGAACTAACCACAACATTGTTGGACATGTTTTTCATCACTCTCGCGGGCTCGTAATAATCTTCGGTAGTGTACACCGGCGGCGTGGAGTTTCTCATCAGACTGTTGCTTTTCGATTGCGATTTTCGTCTTAAGAACGGCGACATCTTTTTACTGTTGATCTCTTCGATTTTTTGTATAATCTGCTGTACGCCCAGCGCCGGAGTGGTAGCATTCATCTCGCAACTGTCGTCTGAAAACAACGATTCCACGCGTACACATATTTAGATATTATAGACATTATATTACAATCGTACTGTAACACTGTGGTGGCACCCAAAACCGAATTTTTGACCAACACTTACTCGTTATAATGTCGTAGCTGGTTTCTTTTTCGGTGAAATAATCGTCGTAGTCGTTGTTGTTCCGATCTTCCTTGACTAGCACCGGCACTGGTGTGCTTTTGGGTATATTGTAATACGACGTGTCGCCATCCCAAAATTGTTTATCGATCTACAACAACAAAACCATATTTCCTTTATCAGTAACGAGAAATCTACAAGGACGGATTAACAGTGTATAATACAACAAAACAACAACAACAATAATAACAGAAATAGTGGAAAATAATGGTTAATGGAATTGAACCTTTGGCAACATGTCCTTTTCTTGTTTCGATTCGTCGATGAAGTGGTAAATCGACTCCATGTCTAATTCGTCCGGTGCGTTTTCGTACAGATTGACAGCTCTGATAACCGGATTAGGTTTGTCGTAACAGTTGTCCAGTGACGTGTGGTCTGTGGTGGGAGGTACTGGCAATTCACGGGTAGGCAACAGCTCCTGTTTGAAACATATAGTAGGAGACGGCGAATGCAAAATATCCGGAGTGGATGGCTTACTGCTCGAATTGTTAATGGCTTCAATCCAAGAGAGCATGTCATTTTGGTTTTGAGCTATAAACTAAAAAAAAAAATAATAATAATACAAATAAAATATAAATACAATGCGATTTCCCTAGAATTTCTACAAATTATATAAAACACATAAATGTATTAGCGCGGTAAATCAATGATGGACGTGAAATATGTAAAATCGGAGAGTTAAAAAAAAAATGAAAAATGGTAGAACTATGTACCCGTGGTGTTTATCATTTATCGGTATTTTTCGCACTGCTTGTACGAATAAAGAAATAATAGATCATCGTATTAAAATACCAATTTTGAACGAAGGTCAATGTAAATTATGTAACGTCTATTTATATGCACACATTATTATATAGTGTAATATATTTATTACACTATATATCGTACTTAACTCATATTTGACACGTACCTATTAGAACAATAATCGTTTTATCATAAATCTTAACAATCAATTGGCTGCTGTATTCAATAATTAAAACGATTCTAAAAAAAATCGCAGGCCAAAAGACTGTACGAATTGAATTTTAGTTGACATTGAGTTTACCTTTCAAACCATAAAACACACGTGATAGGTTTTTTATCAAGATGTGTTAATACTTGCTGAACAAAGTTTAACGATATTTTTAATTTTTTATCCAATGGTATAAAATAGTAGCTGAAAATTAGAATTTTTAAGGAGATTTACAACCAGAAAACGTACGATATCATTCAAATAGGAAGGAAGTTTTTTTTAGCCAGTGGGCGAGTTTGGTACGAAATTTTTCGAAAAATTGTTTATCCGACCGCACCAATATTCACGTTCAAACGGTGTCTACAAGGTCGGTCGTTAACGATATGGAGATAAAAGTCGCGAACAAGAGCGGGATAATTGTCGCGCGTTTTGCACAATGTTTGTAACCACATGATTTTCACGTCATATCCCACTGTTAACAATACATTTTTTTTATATTTTTTTAATTTAACAGCTTTCGGCATAATCATTATACCTTTAACAATACATTAGAAATAATAATAATATGCTCGTGTGTGACTATCCGTACATCGCACGGACACGCACAAGTTACCGCGCGCCATACGACGTTAATTGTTGCGCATATAAAAATTTAATATTTAGGGCCGTTATTACCATGGACCGGTAAACATCACGCTAGATTAGCGAGGACCATTCTGGCGGCCACTTCGTTATTCTCTGATCACGCAACGAATCATTGAGCTAAAACTGACTGCTAAACGTCAACCCACGTGAAGGGGTTTTTTCCTAGCCGGGAATTTTGTCTCACGCTAAACACTGTTCGGCTGAGAGACGCCGAGTAAGAATGGACAGTATCGAAACAAAATCGATACAACGAAATCATGTATCTTCAGCATAACAAAGTGAATATTTCAGCTATCTTAAATGCACATCGTAACACGTCGTCAAGTAATTCAATCAGCAATCGGCCGACTGATACGACTGCAACACCGGTGTTATACAACGAAGGTTGGATCTAGGGTTAACGCCAAGACCCAAGGTCATCCCTTAGGCGGCTCAACAGTCGGATGAAAACTTAGCAAGGAGATTGGGGAAGGGGGCGTGTTGAAATCAAAAACTATCCCCCTCGGTCATAGCGCAACACAACGCACCTGATAGGTCTTTTTTCCGGGGCAGACGACCTCGAACGTCCAGTCCTTGGTGCGATTGTTGGCGCCCGCGTCCCTGGCCGTGTAGCCCTCAAGGTTGACGACCAGGCACGGTTTCAGTTCCTTCTCGCCGTTGTACACGTACATGGTGCACGACAGCACCGCGGCCCAGTACTTCTTCGTGTGATCCACGAACAGGATCTTCTCGCGTTTCATCAGCGCGCCGTACTTGCTGGCCGAGTACTTGACAGCGTTCGCCGACACGTAGATCACGTCGCCGCTGCGCGAGCTCTCGGACGAGTCGCTCGTCGACCGGCTGCTCAGGCTGCTGCCGTTCAGCGCGCACTTGGTCAACGGCGACCCGACCGCGGTCGACGCGCCACCGCCACCGCCACCATCGGGCGCGCTGTGACGTTTCGCCGCGTTTAAATGCCGCGGCGGTCCCGTGTACCCGTTGCCCACGCCGAACGGCTCGTAGTTGTCCAGCGGGTCGTCCTCGTACGGCATGTTGTTGTAGATCGGCTGGCCCGCGCACAGCTCCTCGTACGCCGCTTGCTGGTGAAGGCACGCGAAGCTGTTAGACTTCATTATCAGACCTGCGGACACACAACCGTCCTTCACGTTATTCACGCCGCATACACATATATACTTGATGACAGTAGCGTGGCGAACTACTTTTTGACCAGGGGCCAAGTTTTCCAACCCATCTACCCACCTAATATTAATATTTACACTTAAATTTAAACGCTAAGGGTGGTATATCGTTTATTAAAAAATTAACAACTCTCTTTTTTACAGTATTAAATGTTTTATAACAAAATGGTTTAAAATTGATTATGCTGCATTGAAATTATACATTTATGTTCAAAAAATATTATTTAAAAACGTAACGATTTCATCATTACATCACTTGTTAACGCTTATTTATCTACGGCATATTAGTATCTTATCACCATGCGGTTAGGTGGCGGTGCAATAAATTTGCTTACCTATACAAAATAAATAATTAAATAGCAGTTACTATTATAGTATATAATTCATAATATACGAGCGTACCTGTTATGCAGAGTCAATATTCGAATATTGTGGATTCAGATGATACAACTGTTTCTATTACTTTATCAATTATGTTTTAACTAAGTAACTTGTAACATCATATGAATTCTCTTGTAGCATTGTCCTACTTGACGACGTTTACGCCTATACTTTACCTAGGTACCATCATACCTACCCACCTTACCTACCCACCCACCCACCTTATTATCCAATAGGGATAACCCCTCATCACGCCACTTGCTTGAAGAGCTGCCGAGGGGGAGGGGACGATTACAGTCGATGTTCCCGGACCGTTTTGAGCTGCTTACGCGCTGGGCGAATTGTTTACGCGCGCATGCAGTTTTAAATCGCTTAAGACTAAACAAATTATTTTAGATTAGATTGTTCGCACCATGAAAAACTGATCAAATAAAACTAACTTGAGTATACCAGGCGTTTATCCAAATAAATAAATAAATATTTTATAAGCTAAACATAATTTCTAGGTATAAATATATAAGATAAAATAAAATAACCGTTACTGGGATGATCAAAATCCACATTGGACATTTGAAACCAATAACCAAAGCGTTTGGGGAACTAATGTTTTGTGTGGTTTAATTGGTAGTAAATTGCTTGGTCCATTTTTTTATGATGGAACTCTCAACATTAGACAATATTATAATTTTTTATCAAATTAATTACCGATGATGCTTGATGGTATTTCTTTAGCTTTAAGAGAAAATATTATTTTTCAACATGATGAAGAAATTACTGCTGCAACAAATAAAGAATTCATGCCACGCTGAATCATGTTTTGTTCACGGAGGACAACAATTTTAACAATTTATACGTTAAAATAATCTGTGTTGGTGAGTTGGAGCCCAAACCCTAAATAACGTACGAGTTGCGGCCTGGGTTTATGAGAGGTACGTACGAGTTGCAGCCCGAGTTTATAAGAGGTACGTACGAGTTGCGGCCTATACAATAATCTATATACTACATATATAATATATACTATACATAGTACATGTATATAAAAATCATAATATAAATTTATTAATACTACGTATTTTCTAGTATTGTCGTATATTATTAATATTGTCATTTCAAGAATATAAATAAAAAAAATATTCGTAAATTAATAAAACCGTATAGTAATTTTCAATTTGCCATTTGAAATTATCCGATTATCGTAGTTAATGCAAGTTATATGACAGATAATACAATAAAACGATCTATATTATCTGTATTATATTATATAAAGATATAACTTGCCATACATATTGAACAATTCGTTTATCGTTATTCGTTTATCACTAAATTTATAGCCAACACCGCATCGTACATATACTTACTAGCCAATAGGTATATAGGTAATAATAATTATTCGGGTCGCAACTCACCTATAGCTAAAATATTGTTGGGCCGGAATTCACTGGTCTCCAACACAGGAAACGACACGCCGGGCCGCAACTCACCCATACCCAAATTAATCAGTAAATAAATAAACTTGTAACTTGAATAAAAATTAAACTTATTGTTAATTATTGATAAATTCCAATAGATCCATTAAACGTCACGAAATAAAAAATATGCCTGCTTATTTACGTTTTTTCTGCTATAAGTTATAATACATACCCAAATTAAAGTGAAAATTATGCAGTAGGTATATAATATTATAATAGCGTGTAAATATCACTTTAATAAATAAGAGTGAAAATATCAAGCCTCAACAATTCTAGAATAATTATTTGCAGAATTATAGTCAAAAAATTTAAAATCGCTCGCATTTTATAGTTTTTTTTTGTTAAATTGCTGTAACTTGGTCAATTTTGGACTTAGAAAGTTGGTTTGGATACCAAAACTCATTAAAAAAATAAGCGAAAAATAATTAGTAATTAAAATAGGTGGTTTCCATTTAAAAAAAAAAAAAGTTATATTGCGCATGCGCTTGTCTATTTAAGTTAAAAATTAAAAACTCGTAAAAATACATATTTTCATGTCATAAAAACCAACAAAAAATCAGAATTTAAATCGCAGGTCTCTACGCAAAGATATTGAGTGTTCTTAGTTAGCGTTTACTCACTGTATGTGTAAAGCATAAACAAAAATTAGAAAAAACTCTTAGAATCCAATTCATATGTAAGAATTATATTTTACCAATAAAACTATTGTATTGTACCACTCGATCTAGGACATTTCAGCGCGGGCATTTCGGCGCGAGGTACGTTTCGGCGCCAGGTGTTATTATGGACATTCTGTCGGATGAATTACCAGAAGAAATCTTACCCTTGTTAGACTGGTTTGAAGAAAATTATATAGGTAGTGTTCATAGAAATCGACGTCGAAATGCACGTTTTCCTCCAAATCTGTGGAATGTCCACGAACGAGTTTTAAATAAAAAGGATAGAACTAATAATTATGCCGAAGCTTCTAATAGACGACTCAATGTTCAAATGGGGGTTACTAATCCAACACTATGGGCTTTTATATCTTGCTTAAGAAAAATATAGAGTGGTCGGGATACTTTTTATTGCCAATTAGAAGCTGGTAAAAGCCCACCGAAAAAACAAAAAAAATTTTTGGATGTTGATAAGCGAATCTTTATAATAGTTAGCAATTATAATCATAGGGACATGTTAATATTTTTAAGAGGTATCGCTCATAATTTAAGCATGACACATTAATATACTACATATTTATTTTATTATTAGAGTGACATATTGATATTGTATTATTAATTTTATATTTTTTATTTATTAAACAGGACATATTGATATTTTATTAAAATTGTAAATTTTTTGAAAATATCTATAAAAGTGAATTCTAATATTAATTTTATAGAAGTAAATTTGTGTATTATGTAAATTAGTGTAATCCAGCGCCGAAACATACCTCGCGCCGAAACGGTCGCGCCGAAACGGTCGCGCCGAAATGGCCACACCGAAATGGCCACGCCGAAATGGCCACGCCGAAATGTCCGTGTCCGGTACCATGAAACATTTTTTAATGTTTTCAGAAGTTAAGAGATCGCCGACTATCCGATTAATACAATCAACGATAATCATTAAATTGCTATGGTTAAATATAAATAAAACTAGACATTTTGTGTCAACCTGAGATTTGAGAATCATAATTGGTACAATATCTAATAAAAATACTCAAAATAAATATTTTTTTATTACTAACATTTTTAAATATTATTATCAATTCATGAATAATCATCAAATATGCTCTAAAAAATGGCAAAATTAAGAAATATGCGTTTAAAATTTTTAATCCACTAAATATGTAAAAATATGCATTATAAACTTTAATATGTTTTTCGTGGTCTCATGAAAATAACTTCAAGTTTACTTAGGAATAAATTTAATAGCCCAATAAAAACATGCAAATGCATTATACTAGTCCTACTTATAAGTATTGAGTTATATGATGTGTATTAGATATCAATCAAGTATTAAATTAATTTTAAAAGTCAAAAAATATAACTACATAATTCCTGTCTCGGCCTCTGTACTAACGATGACACTATGTCGGAAGTTTTATATAACTACATCTAAACGTGGTAATATTTTAATATGACAATTATGTTCTACAATCGAAAACTTGATAACAAAACAACTACTAACCGTATACTATAAATTAAAAATTATTTCATTTTTAAAGTATGTACCAGGTACATTATACCTATACAAGGATTAATTTTGGGATATTATATGATATATAGGTACATTTTTTTTTTTGTTGTGTGACTAACGTTTTTGACATTTATGGGAAAATAGGTTTAAAAAAACTTTAATAGAAAATCAAATTGAAAATAATTATATGAGTTGACTCGTATAATATAATTATTAGTATTCGTATGGGTATTGTAGGTATTTATCGACCTACCGGCGACGGTGGCACGGACCATTGTATTCAGTTTTTTTTTATATTACGTCAAGATTGTTCCTTGAAATAAGTGACGAGACAACGCTATAGTATAATAAAAAAACCAACTCCTAATGTATTCATATCGCGTATAGTTATTTGTTAGCACTTCGTTGTACGGCCATCTTATTTTGCGAACCATTATATTTTACCGACAAAGTGAAAGCTTAACCATCTTGCTTGTCATCTCAAATTTTAAAATTTACGAGAACCGTAATAATAAGTATGTATTATATCAAAATAATCGCACAAACTAAAATGCTCACCTTTTGAACGTCCATTCATGTCCATGTACGGAGCTCTGGCCGGTGACATTTCTCTGTTGGAAAGTTTTTTCAAAAGTTGTTGCCGTTGAATTTCGGCCCTCTCCGAAAGAGATTCGGTGACCAATACGGTTTGCAAGTATTTAGTGACATCTGCAAACCAACAATTTACACGGAATTAATTTCATGATTTAAACATCTTAAACCAAATAAATTACTGCCACAAATATATTTTCTTATTTTACTTCGTTTTGAATTACTATTAAATGTATTTCTAACTTCGGAAACAATATTCATCTGTAAAATGTTCATTATATCATACAGACAGTTATTCATAAATAATTTTATTCAACATATTATATTGAATAAATCTAATATATTGGCATTAATATTCATTTGTGTTTATAAGAATCAACTACATATGTTTTTCGAAGGAAACTGTAGAGAAACTTTTGTATATCTTGTCGAACATCTTGTTGTGTATAGACGTTCATAAACAAAGTTAAAACTCTACCAAAATATCTAGGAAGTTACTATATACAGTAACCACCTAAACAAAATACTACGTAATATTATGGTATTCTTACTCAATTGGCAAAAACTTTAATTTTTAGAGAAAAAGAATACTTGTGCAAAATTATTTATAGTCTTCAGTGAGCAATATACCATAAATAATAGCTGTTGCGTATTTCCTGGTAAACGCATCGTTTTTAGAAAAAAATTATGCTAAACGTCTTCAGTCGATCGTGATTTGGCAACGTTTAGCGGTGTTTATTTTTACGTAGGTATACGTGAATGGTTATAAAATGCAGCTCATCACATTGGCCTTCAAAACGTAGTTCGAATAAAAAATAAATAAATGATTACTGTGCCGCTTAATTGCTTATAGAGTTAAAAAAAATAATTTCCGAGTACGAAAATATTCGATTATTTAAGTCAAACCTCAAACGGAATCATAGGTATTTAATTAGATGAAATTAATTCATCTGTGAAATTGATTTGTACAGTCAATGTCTCAGTACTGCCATATACACGCGCACGCTTTGTTTGTTATCAAAATATTTAAACTTGCCTTAAAATGAACATTTATACAACGAAATATTACTATAAACATCAATAAATCTTCTTAAATCACTCGTATGGTTTAAGATGCGAATTTGATCCAATCATTAATTATAAATGATACGAGTTCAAACAACTTAGTCAATATTTAAATGTATTTTTTATACAAAAAATACACACTTTTGAGAGTTTAAATAAATAATTACATAGAATTGATCTCAGTTTTAAATTAAAGAATATGGTTTTATTAATTACAGGTAGAATTAAAACGTCGAATAGTTTATAAAAATAACTTTTTACACTGTTAAGCACTCACATAAAAATAATTTGCTTTTGTAATATTTACATAGTAAATTGTAATTTATACATAAAGCTATTAATTAATATTCTGTTTTTTAAGACTTCTTGTTATTTATATTATATAGTTTTGTTTCTCGAAACTAGGAAAATAATGTTTGTATTGATACTTTTACCCATTAGATAAATATTCTTGTAACTACACAAATACTTTAAAGGGGTTCTCAGAATTATTCCTTATATACTAAGTAGGTAATATACTCAACAATAATTCCTAACAGATAACTAAAAAAATAAAGTTCATTAAATATAAACAATGATTCATAAAATAAGCATATAAGAGCTTAGTATATTATATTAGTATATTAGGTATTTTATAAAAAAAAACCGTTAACTAGATTAACACATTACTTATTGTAACAACTGTAATAGGTTTGAGCTTAAGAAGTGTAAACGCAATTATTATTGCAAACAATATTCGTGAACACACAAATATCACTCACATTTAGATAAATATTACTGTTTATTACTATGCACATAGTGTTTAATTTAGTACAGATCATGAACAAACTAAACAAATATGATATTTTCTGAACGCACAATTCGTAATTTGATAAATAAGCTTCAAGCTGAAAACAAATATTGTGACAATTTTGTAATAGGTATTTCACCGGTATTATAAAAAGGTAAAAAATTAAACGATTTACTCGTTTTGATTATTTTTCAAATTTATACTTTATATATCACCAATCCTATTTCATAGAAATAATAACTATTAAACGTTGATCGGTTTTAAAAATTTTCCTGAATCAATTTATCAATTATGGTTGTGTTCAACTAATTCAATCAAAATTATAGTGTAGTAGTAGCCATCTTATAATAAAATACTAGTAGATTATTCTCTTGGACAGTATATTGGTATACAATAAACATTTGTTGAGAAACCTTTTTGCATGCTATTTTCGATAAATTTACTATTTTAATAAATCACAATAATAACAAAAAAACAACTGTTTGAATCTCGGTTTGAATGGATGCGATTATTCTATAGTGGTTAATAGCGTTTTATTTATTGAAATCATTCGGAACGGTCACTCTCACTTTCTAATTTATATTTGGTCCCATGCATACGCGTCGTGGTGCACACATAAACGAGTAAGTTATCTCATTAGTATCGTAACCTCCGTTCTTAGAACTATTTATTCTTTCCTTAACCTCTAATTTGTGGATGTTATCAGCATTTTATGGACAATGATAAAAATGTCTCTGTTCGAACTTAAAATGAAACAATTCATATATATATATATATATATATATATATATATATTTACAATGTTTACTATTAGATTAAATATATACGTACACGATAATCTTGCACAACACGTCATGGATATACAGTACAATATTATGGTTTTTATAACGTGATAGATTTGTAAGCCAATGCAGACTAAGAAGCACAAATATTGTTCAGTATATTTACTAATATAGATCATAATGAAATTAGTCAAAAAATTAGTCTAAAAAATATGACCAACATACAATTTTTGATATTTTTCTTAACATATATTCTGCAATATATAAAACTCTAACATCAAACTCGTTTTTTATAAGTTAAGACTTAATAAAACATTTTATTAGTCGCGAGTGAGAGGAACTTCAAATACTCGTAAGAAGAGAAAAATACTGGTTCTCAAAATATCATCGAATTGGTTTTTAGGTATAAAATGTATTCAAAAAATATCATATATTTGACTTTTAGGGAATTTTTTTTATTTTTTATTTAAATAATTGTTTTTATTCAATCTGTTTGTAGACAGAATAATAAGAATAATTGATGGGTAAATAAAGATAAAAATCAATTACAGATAATATATTTAATTAAAGATTATACACAAAGTTATACGTCGACACGATATAGTTGTATTATTCTGGCTTAAATCGTATTTATAGTATATATATTGCCTTGGTGACAATACCAACTGGTTAGAAAATAACTTCGGCGAATTAAAGCTTTTCAAAGATTTTCAGAAAGCTGATTAAAGATTTTCATTACAAATCGGATCCAGAAGAGATAACGACTCTCGTTGTCGAATCAACAAGCGCAAACGTCAAGAGCCAGGCGATACACTTGGGAAGAAAATGCGTGTGATGGAATTAAATGAGGTGACGGACTCTGAGGACACAGTGACTGTCTTAGGTGAAGTAGTCCCTTCCAACAATATCCTGTCAGCAAACTTGCGACGATCAATGTATAACAAGCGCAAACTTCAAGTGTCAGCTCATATATCTGGGAAAAAGATGCGCCAGGTGGGACCTTGTAAGATGAAGTCGATCGACGGCGGTGGCAACATAAAACACACGCAGACCGCAATGGCCGGTCTTCGCGCGTTGGACGGTTAACATTTTTTTTTTCTCAAGATAACACCGTGGCAATGTTTTTTTATACATCATTTAGATTTTTTTTTTTTGTAAACACCTGCAGGTACTGGCGATAGGCAATGGTCACTAGGTGAAGACGTGTCCGGAGTGGACAATGACGATATATTTCCCGGTTACTCAATGGACAAGTTATACTTTATCGGCCAAAACATGCACCGGCACGATGAAGAAGTCGTGATCCCGGGTAAATCCATCAAGATCGGTGATGTGAGAACCGTGTTCGAACAAAGGTCATGGTTGACCGATGAAGCAATCTCCAACTACATGCAGTTAATAATAGACCGGGATCCCTGTAATGTGTACGCTTTCGATACGTACTTCTACACAATACTATCGTAAGTTTATGTACAAGTAACTATTTTTAAGCTTTTCTCTTTCATTCACGTAGACCGAGAATATATTTAAATATCATCATTTAGATTTTTTTTCGTTAATAAAGATAATAAGATAATTAAGATAATTTTCAATATACAATAACTTAAATCAATTGTAAAAATTAAATTATGAAAATCGTATTGAAATCAACATAATTTTTCATAAAATGAATTCAACATTACACAAAAACAAAATACGTTTTAAAATGAATGAACTCATAATTATTAAATAATAAACAACCAAACTTCTGAACTGTGTACTTGTCATTATGTCCAATTTTTATATTATTATATTCGTAAGTACGATAATATATTTATTGAATAATTATTCATAAATTATAATTTATGATTTTACAGTTCTTGCGGTTACGATGCTGTCAATAATAGAGAATACAAAAAAGACATCTTCAATTATGATAGAGTCCTGATACCAATCTATGAGAAATATCACTGGACCCTAGTGTGTATTTATTTCAAAGACAAAATCATTAAATATTACGACAGTGTAGGTGGGAAAAATCTACAGTGTCTAAAAGTAGTTTTAGACTACTTGAAAATGGAAAGCAGGAAAAATATTGGTAACGAATTCAATAGCGATGAGTGGCAGTTATTGCACGCTGAAGATTGTCCGAAACAACTTAACGATGACGATTGCGGAGTTTTTACCTGTGCAAACGCGGAATACTTGGCCAGAGGAGTGAAACTGACCTTCAACCAGAGCGATATACCAATGCTCAGACATAGAATATGTTATGAAATACTGACAAGTCGCTTATTGTTCGGTCTAGATGCCCCGGACCCACGGCTGAAAATGTCTAATATCAATAGATAAATTATATGTCCCACCAGTGGCGGATCCAGGATTTTCTTTTGGGGGGTTTTGAAAAATGTTTTCCCTTAGGGAGTTTTTTATAACATTGCAGTCAGTGATTGATAATGAATTAAGATAATAGTAAGTAATATAATACATTAATTTAAATAAAAATACAAATTATATATTTTCTCAAGGTTTTGTCGAAGGAATCGGACTTTTGGCAGACCTGAGGCGTTCATCGAGTTTTTTTTCCGATATCGAGAAACCGTTACCGTCTACCGATGAATTATTTTTCTGGCTAAAATTTCTCCCTGTTGGCGATTTGTAGACCAAATACTCACATTATTTTTAATTCTATTAAATAACTTTAGAAAAATAATTTTTTGTAAATGCGTGAATGTATAAATACGTAAATGTGAATGTTCAGCAAACAACCGGTACACGATTCCTTACAGAAACCTTGGAAATGATCGGTAACCCAAAATTGGCTTATATATACGGACTTCAGAACAATGACGTACAATGTTCGGCAGTATTACATGGCGTCGGAAACTATCACGTCTACAATATTACAAATAAAATGGACGAAAACCACCCTTAGATGAATGACGTTTGAATTATGAAAACGCATATTAAAAAAGAATTATTAAAGCTATTTGCAAGTGAACTTGTATGATCGATATTATATTGAAAATATAAAATGATCGAATGAGAAATAAATAAAAATAAATAATAAAATAAATAATAATAAATAGAAATTATCGTCATTGTGCCACGCACAAAAAAAAACAAAAAACTATTGTCCGTGTAAAAGTAATAAAAATTATACAATATGTTAAATACTTAACATACAAAAAGCATTTAGTCGTGGTCAATTTACTTTAATGCACTCGATGTGACATACTAACATCCACGTGATCTTCCGGCAACACGAATGCACTTGCGTACGATACGTCGACGAAAACAATAAATACGATCCTTTGTGTTTTTTCCCGCCTGTCGGAGACGAATTCCTTCGACCCGAGGAATAATCGATGCGACCGACGCCATTACACACTACGAAGCGGCAACGACGGCTGACCCATAAGAAATAGCGATCAAGCAGTGATAATAATACTAAGCTATGTACAGGGTGTTCCACGAAGATTTATTGATTTTTATTTCTTCTACGTTGATCGAGATATTTAAATTATAATTATTATTACTATTTATTGTTTCGTTCTAAGAAAACCGAACTCAAATAATTTTATAATTCCATAAGAGTCTACATTATAATATAGCAGCGTGTGTTCGTGAGATACCCTGTATATAATAAAATATTCGTCTTCCAATTTACACTCGCCGCGCGCACAGTGTATTAACCCCGTGCGACGACATCCTGAACGTCGTTGATTAACAAAACGTATTCGGTTTGTACACGTACATATTTTACACACGTGTTAAGCCCTAGCGAGGGGATCGCGCGGCATGTGGGAGAGCTCATAATAATAATAATAACGAAGTCATTTTACCGTCGTCTTCTGCTAATTGAAAACAATGAGTTCTACATCAGCTTTAATTGATAGGTACTCTGTTACAATACACATCGCGTACACACAATATCGAATACCACGCGGTGGCAGAGACGTAAGCAATTTTATAATTGGTACGAAGATGAAAGAACGTTTGAAACCCAGAACGAGTAGGTCGGGGATATCAGAGGATTAGGTTATACTTCTTAAAAATGTATACATAATGTACCCGTAGACGAATTATAAAATATGTAAGGAAAATAATATCTTTTAAAGGCAATCCACTAAATAAACAAAAATAAAATTGTCAAGGTAATCCTACAGAACTTTGAATAATGAGATTCTGCTGAACTGTTAAATCTCAGAAGAAGAATCCAGGGTTTTTAGACTATACGCCTCCATCAAATGGTTCAGTCATCCTGGTTAATCATAAGTTTCAACCACCACGGTGAACAGTACCAATCAATACTTTTAAAAAATAACCTTTCTTCCAGTATATTACCCGGTTATTCTCCGAGAAGACAAATGGACCTTTGTGACATCTCGTACTTTACTAAGATGTCATTCATTGATATTCCCAACATTTCTAATACTATAGACAATTATTGTAAATGCATTTTATTTTTTTGTTTTTTAATGAAAAAACTTCTATTCCTGAACAATAATAAATCATTGTTCTTAATTTTAATTGTTTTCTAATAAAAATTTTTTCGAGGAAATATGTCTACTCCAATATTTTAAAAGAGCTAAGCCTTACATTCGATGTATAATAATTTCTTTGTCAACACTATACAAATAAATAAATTGGTGGTACCCAACAATGGGACTGTTCGTCAACAATTATACCAAATTCGTACACTTGCTAATACGATAACAGCTAATATTGTTAAGAGAACGTTCGCATCCACATCCGCATGTGTTATTTCCGTCTCACAAACGTACAACATAGTAAATCTGTGTTCAATAGAAACAATTTTGCGTAGTTAACTTTAATATTAGATTAAACTGACATAATAACAAACTCGGAGGGAAGAACATTATCTATGCGATGATATACAATTTTTACCATACATTAAATTATAACGAGTTATGACCTTTGTAAAATTGTAATATTTTACATGATCGTAATTCGCTAAAGAACTATAACATCTTTAAAACTAATAATATCATACAGATAATGGTCCTCCTTTAAATTTGTCAATTGGAAAATTTATTCTTATATTAAAACTAACAAAATAATATTGGTTTTATTGAACGCAGATTTACTAGGTTGTAAGTTATAAGTAGAGCGCGGATTTCTATGCAATCGCATATTTTTTTCCTTTCAACATTTTTGGATTTTTGTCAGTTATCTCCACGAATCATCATAATTTGAAGCTAATGGTGAAATTTTTTTTTGCATATTTCTGCATATTTCGAGATTATTGCATATTTTTGCATATTTTGGCAAAATTCAAAATGTGTTGTATATTGAAGTGAAAATTTAAAAAAAAATGTATAAAATAATATTTTGTCAAGTAGAAAAATTAAAAATAAATTTCATAGTCACTAAATAATAATTTATATATATATATATATTTAGTTATAAAATAAATAATCGATTACGACGTAAACTTAATAGCTCTTGCTGTGTCAGTAGGTTATCGACATACCACTTGCTTCAAATATACTCCAATAACTTCGGTTGATATCGAGCGTTCGTTTTCAGTCTTTAAAAATATGTTAACCGATAAATGACACAGCTTCACAGAAGATAAACTTGAAATGCATATGATTATTAATTTTAATAATAAATAAAATTTTAAAAATAAATTAAGTTCAGAAAATTCCTTAAATTTTTTTGTATTAAGTATTTAAATAATTAATTTTTATAAGTTGAATTATAAATTTTAAATAAATAAAAAATTCTTGTATATTTTTTGCATATTTTCATAATTTTGACTGCATATTTTTTATATATTTTCATGATTTTGACTGCATATTTTTTGCATATTTTCATGATTTTTACTGCATATTATATGGCATATTTCGATACTTTTAAGTGCATACAAATCCGCGCTCTAGTTATAAGACGGAGAGAACAAATGCGAGAATTACAATTATTTGTCAGTAAATTGCCAGCCTGACAAACAAATACTGGCCAAGTTGATATTTACTTTTCTTTTCCTCTTGTCGACCTAACACAGAAGTACACAATTAAATAGCATGTACACTATTATATCATTATTCATTGCAAACTACACGTAATAATGTCAAAATGTTATGATAGTCATCTGATGATGATTACATTACTACGACCACACCCATAATAATATAATGCACTATTATAGATTATGTATAATAGTTTATTTAAGCTAGTAACTTTACCAAAAGTGCGTGATCTTACTCGTATAAAAGTATTGCGTGAAAAAATCGATAAATTACTTACTATACAGACAATTTTCGAAATTACTTTGGAAATGTATAGTTTATACCGTATGCTTTTCTAAAAGTGTATTACAGTTAAACATAGAAAAATCGAACGAACGGTTATTAAGTTACGATTACAGTTACAAATATTTCAAATAAAATAACAGTATAAATTATAACGTTTATTATAATAATATACGCACTGTTACGACAACGTATATTTTGAAAAGAAGTGCATCAATAATAAAAATAAAAATTATATAGGACTTTAATATGTTAATTTTATATGTATAAAATTGTTTATAAATTAGTCATACAAACTAGATCGTACATTAACATACCCATATAAGAGATGAAGAAAATCATAATGTAAGTTTAAACATTGGATAACCCAAAATGGTCTTCGAATTTATTCAACCAATATATGGTCAAACAAAATATGATGACATTTGTTAAATTTGAACAAAATTTATAAACATATTTATGTGAAAATTAAATTTATTTTCTGTGAGTGGAACATTTTTGTTAATCATGTAATAATGATATAGAAAAAAAAATGATAAAACTGTATTGGTTTTAAATTTTTAAATAATAATAATTTTTTTATTATATAATTGTGTATGATTATTACGAGTATATTGATTTTTATATGATTATATTTTTATAAAGAAACTTGCTAAGAAAATTTTTTTAAGAATGATTCACCATCACAATATATTAAAACAAGAAATTCAATTTATTTTCGTTTTTTTTAAATTAAATTTTTATGTACTTATGCATTACGAAAATTAATGCTTTCTTCAATTACATTTACGTTCACGAAATATGGCGTTTGAATTAGGATCAATTTTCATTGATGTGAATATATGAGATTATTCATGGCCACTCAAATCTTTCTGAACAAACATCACCTACGTACAAAACAACCAATAATATTACCTCGGTAGGTATAAACATTTTTAAGACATTTTTAGGCAAAAACTCATTCGTTATTTCAAAAATGTTAAATAAAAAACTTAACCGAATTCATACCGTAATACGTATCGTAATCCTAACATATCTATATTTACCAATTGCACGCCTTATGGTTGTATTAGTTTACAATACTATTTTTTCTTATTATAAGTTATTTTTACTAAACATTATTTTTCAAGTGTTATTACCACATAGTCACGCATCTGGTACGTTAAGTAAAATTAAACCAAACCTTAGCTAGGGAAAACTTAAAACGTTTTACTCCCAAACAAATTCCGAAACGTGCTTACATATTAGTAGATAGATATTTAGGAAGTTTGATGGACCATAAATTATTTTCTACAGTCAACAACGTTTTAAAACAGAAAAATGCACATAAAAATTAATTTGTTTCGTATGCGTGTAAAACTTATTGTTTATGCAACAATTGGTTTCATGCATATGTGTCGCTCGGATGTTTTAAATCTTCACAATACGATTATTTTAACGACCAACAATAAAAATTAATACACAAAGATTCAAATGTTTACTTTGCGGGTTAATTTCATATGCGAAAATTATCCAGAATTCCGAAGGAATATCGTACATAACTTCCTTTGCCACACCGAAACGCTCATACGTATACGACATACCTATAAGGTAACCGAATTTCTTTTCGTGTCAGGATTACGCAATACCACCGTTTCAAGTACCGACCACAGTCGACAGTAACTGCCCAATATCTATTAACAAATTATTTTTTTCCTGCGGCTTTATAATATACATCAGTGAGCGTGATCACACACAATACTCCAGTGTGTACCTACACTATGTGTATCGTGTTGCCAAAAACTGCAGTGTTCATTACCGGTTATCTCGCACGGCTATAACTTTTCTCGAGCATGAAATATGATCGTGAAACGTATTTGAAACGACGATGGATCGCTGTAAGAGCTACCCTCTTACGGAGGGGTGGGTAATACGAGTACGGTGACGGCAGTCAAAACGGTTTCGTGACCATTTTTCGTTACACCGGTTCATTTGTCACAATACGACACGCTACATACATTACACGTTATTAATTCAATTACGTGTCATTCTCCGAGTCCGTACGTGACGTCAAGTTTGATACACCGTGGAACTTTAGCGGATTCGACGATTTCAATAACTTCAAAACTCATTTGACATTCACGGTGCTCGACATCGTCGATTAATAATTCCTCGATACGTGTGTCGCCGATCCTCGGGCCAATCGACTAGGTTAACTTCCGTTGGAAACGAAATAATAATTGTCACGTTATTATGCCCGTGTACTGCGCCGGTGTACGGACACCGCGCACATGTGTTGAACGTGTTTGTGACTAATATGATAGAGTAGCAACAAGTCAGCTGCTACTAAATGATGTTATATTATTATTATTATTATGTAAAACGCCTCGATCCACACTTGATTTTCCGATAAAAACCACGCATAATAGCAACGGGAACGACGAATGTAAATGTTTACATTTATTTACTACTAACGGGAACGTCGGAATTAAGTATTGGTCGTACAGTGCAATGTTAAATGTGTACGCGAGTGGACTCGTATCGACGTTAACTGCGGCCCGACCTGTTATGGGAATCCAATATTTATGCAGTGCGCGAGGTAAGAATATTGCCTTGTTGCCTTGCTGCTTCTGGCCACGAGAGAAAAAGGTACCTGTAAACGAAACCGATCAATACCACTGTACCTATAATAATATGGCCGACGGTGACAACTGTATAGGAAGTGGAAGTCGGTAGAACGTTTAGAACACATGCGGATTTGTCTAATAACAATAATAATGACAGCAATCAATTTTCTCATCCTTGTATATCCATTTCTATATATAGCAAATGGACTAGATTCTTGACTCTAGAATATAATTCGGATCATAACATTGAGTCGACAATGTAACAATCATTGGGTCGACAGATTACACGGCCGACAGCCGATGGGCCGAATATTCTATAGTTAATAAAAATTAAAATTCACTATAATGCACCAAATTATTATAAAAAAACAAAAAAAAAAAAAACACTTATTTTGTATAAAAAGTTTAGTATAAAATGAAGAAAAAATGTTAAGCATTCGTGATATAAAATTAAAAATAATTAAAATTTTAAAAAATTGAATACATTTATGACTTTGGGTATTTTATCGGACTATTATTTTATAAAGTGAATTATAAGCGCACATGTAAAAATATAATTTACAATTAAATATTACAAAATGTATTTTTATGTCAGCCCAATCAAAGTTGTCAACCCTTTTTGAAAATAATTGTAAATTATATCAAAAAGATAGATAATGTATCATAATTCATTAAATAAATTATTATCGTCACTAATCCGCCGTAAATTGCGAATTTGAAATACCATATAATACGAGAAATGTATAGGTAATATAAAGAAAACTATTGATACCAAACCCGATGCCGTAAAATACACGGTAATATTGTCATAACATGACGAAACACACTTGTCGATCGGAAAAATATTAAAAAACCGTATTATTATCGATACATTTTATTATATCCTTCGGGTTATTATAAGTTTCAAAGAATATTTCAGTACGGACACACTATAAGTTTAAAGCTATATACCATCCACGCCACTAAATATTATAATTGGATGTGCATTCTAGAACAAAAATAAACGTTATCTCACAATTGGTCTCACGCGAGAGGGTCAATATGTAAATATTAAAATAAAAACATATGTCACGGGCCGCGTTGTCGAGTGTAATATAAGTTATAACCTGATATTGCGCGGCTGCTGCGTTCTGGCGATGTCTTTTTATTATTGTTATTATTACTTTAATTTTTATTTTTAAGTTTCTGTTTTCTATTAGATACACGTCCTATATTCGTACTATAAGTGGATGAGATAGGGTACTCAGTCCGCCGGAGGCATTTTGTTCAAAACCTAAAATAAAAACAACAGATAGCTTTTTCTGGTTGGATTAAAATAGCTACATACATAATACCAAGTATAATAATTCATTTATAGGCGGTTTGACATTTTTCAATTGGTGGTTTAAGCATAGTTAATACCACTCACCCTAACCTACCAAAAAGTCATATTAGGTACAACAATTTACAATTTCTATTAAATTACTAATTTTATATTACCTACCACTGCTAGTTGCCAAGACCAAATACCCACCTATTAAAATGACACCCACCCCAAACTTTTTGGTAGTTCAGTAAATCACAAAATTCATAATCAAGTCGTATTATCCGTTGTGTAATAATATTTACAAAGAGTAATCATTATAACACAACGGATAGTATGACTACTGGTGATAAGTGTAGCTTCATCCTGTGGATAACGGACTGATGTACGCATTTCCTATTTTTTGCAATGGAGTACAAGAAAAGGAAATATATGACGAATCAACAGCATCGATAACCAATGACATAGTTTATTTTCAGCAGCCATAACTCAAAACTAAAGTATAATATAAAATAGTGTTTTCTAAGTATAAAAAAGTTTTTGTACTGAATTCTGAAAAAAAAAAAATTTAATTGTATTTAATCGGATAACGACACATTATAATGACAAATCAATCTAACTGTTAATAACTTAAAAATTACAACATTTCAATATGTATTTAAAACATGATATTTTGCATTGCTCATCCGTAAATTAACCAAAATTAAAAAATATTAAAATATTTAATGAATAAGTAATGATAATTAAAAAACTCCAAGTCTAATTATCATGAGTATAAACTCGGTTTTCAAATATTACATTTTTAAATACTTTTTTATTCGTTTCAATTACATAC